CTGCGCAAATGGACTCGTCAAGCACTTCGTGTAAACTTAGTCTTCGAGTGAACCTTTCGCGTTTTTAGTCCTGTATGTGGGTGCAATGGCCGGCGCTCATTTCATATGGCAGGTAGGTTTTGCCCGAGAATTCCCATGATACATTTGCTAGGCGCGCCTGCGGGACAATTTATTTCTCGATATAATATTCGCAGAAAATTATTGTGTAGGCTTTTTTATTAGTGCGGAATATACACGTACCTGCGATAAAATGGTCTTCACACACTCTGGCTTCAACATTCAGTACCCAAAGTATACCTGTGGATGTGGCTCTCTTCACAGCCACGGCCCACCTCATTTTTCTTTCTTCATTCCATGGGAATCGATACCTGTGTTTGCCTTTTGCGCTCGAGTTGGAGCAGACAATGGCTGAACAACCGGCAATGCTTTATCACGACGAAGATCAATTGGCGACCACGCACGTGAATCTCGGATAATCTGAGGCATGCGGTAGAGCGGTTCATCGTCATCTACTCCTCTCGAAGCGCAAGCCGGTAGTAGACGGTGCATCCCACAAACCCTCGCTCATTTACTGGTCACCTATTTTATTGGAGATTAAGTCACCGATACTCGTCTCTGTAGGTTATTTCATCAGAAACAACATCTTTTTATTTATTAATAACGTGTGCGGGTTTCTTCCTCAATTCAAACGAGTGCGCATGTTCCTCTACTCTAGTCCGGCTGTGAGGTGGGCTACGTACTACTACGACGGCACTACTACTACATACATCGTGGACGGCACGACCCAGAGGCTTGAGGAGGTTCGCCCCCTAAAAAATCACCGCATATCGCGGGAACAATTAGTATCACCACGAGGACGGGCTGCGGAGTGCTTCACTTCACTCGTCATCATTCACCTCATGGATGCTGCGCTATTTGGTTTCTTTTCTTGGTGCAGTGATGCATCTATGTTATGCACTGCGCATGCACACTTCTCTCTTAGCCGTGTTGTGTACGCAGGCTCGCCACGTACGTGCAACTAAAATGATCTAATAAGAGAAAAGAAATGCGCCTAATGCGGAGAAGGCAGCCTAGACAAGATCCGCTCTGATAAAGCGGATCTCCGAGGTCGTGCATTAGGTCAGATTATCTGATCTCGTTAGCCTTGGGATTCGGTTTAACGCGACGACTAGTTTTGCACACCAGCGTGGCTATGTCTAGGCTTGCCGCTATTTGCATCCTCTGAACGTGGTGTGAAGATGTCAGGCCCAATTAAATAGGACGTACAGTTCAAAAGTAGCTCCCAAGAAGTCCGACGACTCCAGTGACCTCCTCATCTCGTTGAACGAGATAGATGGATAGATAAATAAACAAATAGATATATAGATAAAGAGAAAGATAGGTAAAGAGAAAGATAAGGAGATAGATAGATAGATAGATAGATAAAACCAGTGTTCATAGCCAGAAAGATTGCAATGAACGTTCCGAAACACAAGGTTTATGGTATCGATTGCTGTTATAGAAAGAAATTGACCCGAGTCGCCAGGCACAAGTGCTAAATACGTTAGCCTGCCTTATCACAAAAGAAGCGGCCGATACGCTATGCGAACGCTTCTCCTTTTTCCCTAGAGTGCTTGTAAAAATAAAGAGGTGTTAAACCAGCTTTTTCACACTGTATTTTTTTAAACAACCAATAACCAAGTTTTTATAAGACCTTTCGCACGTAGTTTGGATTTGTTGTCTGGATCAACCAAATACACAGCTACCGCACGTCCAGATAACACAGCGCATTTTGACGGTGCAATAGCATATCGCTATAACATAAAACAAAAGAAATAATTCTTGTCCTGTTTGTTCTCAAGGACTGATTATTCTTTGCTTTTGTTTTTTCTTTTTTTGCATGCAGCTACAGACTAGGCTTTTTTAATTCTTGCACGAAGCTATGTTCTTCGCTTTACAAACACACATCTCCTCTCTCAGCGCACATCCCTTCAGTTTTGTTCTAAAGAGTTCTATCCCGAGCTATCGATTAGTTCCGAAACACGCATCGCGGAAGTAGATTGCTGGAGACGATGAATGCACCTCATATTATTTTGCTTTAGATAACAACACTGTGCACATCAGTCTTTGATTACAACATCTGAATGTGTAGCTTGTAGACTCGGAATTCTCTGAAAATAACTTCTAGAAGTTAACGTGCCGAAAACTAGCAGGGACTTGAGGTGTGCAGTATTTAAGGACTCTGTATTAGACAGGGACCGCCTTCGCCTTTTCACGTGCATCAAAATCTGATAAAATTGGTCTCCTTTCACTATACCGGTGGTATGGTCTGCAATATCGCCTGCGATCTTAACTTTAGTCGCACGATACCCTTCTATACTACTGAGCTACCAACGTGAGTAGAGATTCTCTCGTCGTATTGCCCAAGTTTCGGAAGTCTGTGTCTTTCCCATGTTGAAACCCTGAATGCACACGTTCATAAGACAATGGTATGATGGAATCAAGAATCGCCGATGGAAAAGACAGCGCGAACCAAAATAAAAAAAATTACATTGGCAAAAAAATATGCGTCAAAGCTTTTTTGGGGGTCATTTTCGAAAAGACGCTTTTTTGAGCAAGACTCGCGAGGGAAAGCCGGAACGGGTTTTACGAGTACGAGTCTATTTCTACTTTGGTCGACTGTGTGTTTTGTTAGTCTAGTGCACATTTTCTACTAAACTGGAAAGGCGGACGTTCTAAAAGCAGTAAGACCCATTCCAATATGGACATATCGCCTACAGAAGAGAGCATGCAGGTGTGTCAAATCACCGAGTGTTGGAACAGAACCTTTTTGAAGCAAGTTTATTACATACTCAGTCACCTTATGACGTCTAGTCACGCGTCTCAAAAATAAAAGCGAACATTCCATCTGCTATTTAGAGGACCCGGAAGTCTTGCCATCTCTTACCCCTTTCTTCGTCATTCGTCTTTCCCGAGGCAGTGTTTCACTACGGGCGCATACATTTCGGGGATGACTTCAGAGCAGGTGAACATGACAGAACCAGGACAGCTTGGTCTGTTGTCTGTTTGAATATGCGATGCAGACTCTTTCAAAGCGTGTTTCCCGATCGAACATGCAGCGCCCAGCTTCAGAATATCTAGCAGCGGAATCTCTCATGTCTTCTCGTTCCCATCACCAAGATAAGAAAGTGTGCGTCGTGGTTGCGAAGTCGGTGGTCTTTGTCGGTGAAGCAGTTTTCGTGGGAACTGTTGCTGTTTCCCCTGGCTCAGCTGTTGGCATCGCTGTGCCTGTAAAGGGAGCAGCGGGACCATGCTCTTGCGTCTCGATGGTCGCCGATATGTCCATGGCGTTTGCATCAGCTGGAGTCTGTGGGGTCAAGGGATAGTCTGTAGCAGTCACCGAAGACGCCGTTCTAGTAGGAACCCACATGGGTGCCACGGACGCAGCTGGTAGCATCACTAGCTCTGCGAGGTTTGCCGCAGTATCGTGATGTAGCGACCACGTCTCCGGGGGATGTATTCCTACAGGGGGTCTTGGAAGCCGCCTATCTTGAGTCTCAAAAGCTGCCGGAACGTTGATATCATCTAGATTGATTGCACTCTCTCGACTCGAGCCATCCTGCTCTAGAAGAGCGACACTCTTCCAACCTGACCCTTGCCGAACTTCCGAAGTAAGCTCTCGAGGAGCAACACTTCTAGTGAACTCGCTATGAACGCCATCTTGACTGACCACTACGTTTGGAGAACTTACGATATTCGGAAGAGATTGGTGCCTAAGACGCATTGGAAAGCTGACGCCATCTTTACGCACATGGACAGGAACGCGGTCGTGATACTGACGTTCCGGAAAGCAGCCGGTCTCTCGCTGTGCTTCTAGCGAAAGTTTGCTGATGTCCGGAAAGTCGTGCCTACGTTCCCGGTACTCGCTACGGGTAACGTCGCCGGCAGATAGACTTGTCGGCGCATGCGAAGTGGGACCGAACTGTTGCGTACGGTGGGCGCCAAAGGATCTTGGATGCTGTTCCCTGCATACACCACTCTCCGCACTTGAAGGATCAAATTCTTTGCGTGTTTCACCCAACATGTTTGGGCGCAGATATTGACCTTCGCTACACCAACTATATGACCGACGGCGTGCTTGGACTGGCATGCCTTGTTCCTGTTGCGGATCACACAAGCTAAGTGTCCTTGGCCGTGTGACTTTGGGAGTTGCGTCTTCGGAAGGAGATGACTGTGAGGATGTGACACTTTGGCTTGGTTTCTTGAAAGTGCTGTGGAAGTGATATGCGCTGAAAAACGACGACGAAGGCATATGCGATGTTGAATCGGAAGTGAGTTGGCGAATTTTTTGACGCGCGATTTTTAGCCATGGCACGGGCGGAGGTGGCATCAACATCTTGTCTACGTCGAAGACGGGAGGACTCGTGAACGCCAAAGACGCTTTCACTGGTTCCGGCGGTTTATATGATTCCGGCCGCTTCAATGCTTCTGGCAATAAACCTGAGAACGAAGATTCCCCAGCTTTTTTGAAAACGTTACCCGGGTATCCGACCGTATCTTCTGATGGCACATCACGTTCTGAGGCCATCCACGTGTCCGGGGCCTTCTCTCCAGAAACGTCAGCAAAGCCTGACATCGTAGGCTCTTCCAAATCAGCCCACTGCAGCGCCCTTTTCCCCTTGTCGCGTTGCGCTTCTGGTGCGGCTGACAAAGCACGCTTTCTTGGGCTACAGCCGCTCTCAGAATCTCCCGAAGCCTCAGGGTCGAACGGTCTTCTGCGAGTACCTCGATTGGGTTTGTCGTCACTACCGCGTCGTGTCGACTCCTGTCCAAGACCCGTCACTGATTCGTTTTTGGGTTTTGAGCTTGGTTTGCGTGACGCTCTCCGTCTTCTGCGTCTCGGAGCAACAAGATTGATTACGCTGCAGCGAAGAGCGTTGCGCATGGCTTCGAAACAACCTGTCTGCAATGAATCGAGGCTCTGTTCACTGGATGAAGGAGGAAGCGTTACGTCACTGTCTGTCGCCCTAAGGTCACGTATCTGCTGTGTGGATGGTGCGTCACTGGGCTTTGAAGTGGCTGCCTCAGGACCGTGGATACTTTCACGGTCTCGCACGTCAGGGTTACTAGAACTCTGTGGGGGGCGCTGTGTCGATGTGACGGGATTACGTGCCAGCCAAAGTTTCTTTGGAGGCAAGCTGTCTCCCATTTGACACAGGGACGTTTCGGGTTAACAGTGCATCGCTGCTAGCATTCGTGAGATGCAAGGTGCGGCGCCTTGTGCAAAGACTTGCGGCCTAAAAAAGACAAAAAGCCGCAGGTAAACAAATATCTTTTAAAATATAGGTATATTTGCAAAGGGTATAGAATACGCTGAAAGACAAAGGAAGAAAAGAAGGGTGGTGGCTTCCACAAATATCTTTAAATAGCTGTTAGGAACACTTTCTACGTTAAAAAACCCCAGGTGGTCAAAATTTCCGGAGCCCTCCACTACGGCGTCTCTCATAATCATATGGTGGTTTTGGGACGTTAAACCCCACAAATCATCAGGAACACTTTCTCTGGAAACCTAGGCCACTGCTATGCGCATGGGGTGATTATTTCACAAATTTACATAAAAATGTGGATATTAGAGTTCAGTGTCAACGCAAGAACCCCCCACAATTACGAATTTTATGGTAACAACGCGTGTGGGATTGGCACGTGAGATTTCTCGCCTTATGAAAGGTAATATGATGAAAGCGTGCCCGTGATGACACGTAACGTCATATCAAAGTGTAATAGTCCAACAAAGCAAAAAAAAAATCGACGGGTAGCGCAATGAGCGATGAAAGTCGAGGCACAAAAAAAAAATGTCTTCCTCTGCATTCAGTGTCCAGGTTATCTGAGCTACTCGTAAATGTTTTCAGCATTGAACAAACGGTCTCAAACCAAAGCTGCATTCCGACACAAGCTGCATACACCCAGATTCGAGGAATAATGTTTACCGCACACTTGTTCCTTGATTGGTTCGCTATACTAAACAATAACAAGGTTTCTTTATTGGAACTCACTAGACTCAGGAGGCCCATCGCATCAACAGGTTTACTGTATTTATAGGACCATGATTATATACGTGACATGCGGTAGGCTGTAGCCTAGACGTAAGGTGACGAGGTGCTTTCTCTTCTTTTTGTGGCCTTAGCGCACGTACCACAGAGTTATGCCACTGATGCCGTTTTTTTTGCAAGTTCGTGAGGAGGAGGGGGCGTTTAAGAAGGATCCAGTCAGTCCCGTGTAACTTAATCGCATATAAGATACGTTGCGACAAACAATGTATAATTTCAACATACATCTAAAAACGAAGTTTAAGCAGAAATGCGTTTGGATGCTTTAGAGGACTTCTCAATTAAGCCCTAAAACATATTAGATAAGTGCGTGCGTATGTGGCACTACAAGGCACAAACACGTGGATTAGACAAACGTCAAGATAAATGCTGCCGAGTTATTTTTTCGTGATAAATGCTGTTTTTTTTATCGCAGAAAGCGTCATTCAATAATGAAATTCAAGATATAACGGAACGTACGGTACTTTAAGGAACAAAACACAAATGCTCGGCTACAGGCGAACTTGGACGAGACTGAAGTCTGGTAATGCCTAGGTATATAAACTCGATGATCAATTAAGCAGTTCAACGACAAAGAAGTTTGGTTATTATGGTGGAACCTACAAAGCACGATTTAAAACACGGTGTCTAATCGAAGGTTGTAGGCCAGGTGCCACAATGGAGGGTGGAGTGACAGGAGGAAATATAATAGCTCGTCTTTTCTTTGCTGGACACATCCTTATTGAAAACTAAGTGACGATCAACCCAATGGAAGTAAAGGATATGTTGCTTGTAGCAATTCTGATACGCATGTGAAAAAAGTGGACAAAAAGACAACTTGGTGTCAGCAGGGCCGAATTTGCAACATCTGAAAAGTGCGTCTGATGCTTTAGAAAATTTAGTTACGGTGACGGTAGTCCTCCCGCTTACTCAGACAGTTATACATGAACCAAATTTGCGAGTGTTGGTGATGGCCACATGCATCAGGTGATACGATAGCTGTAGCAAAAAGGCGGTTACGAGAACAGCGTCTTGCGAAAGTTGTCTAGATGCGCGGCACATCTTCTGTCTTTAGAATCTTGTTAAATGCGAAGCGTCAGCTGGAATACTGGCCGAGGTGACCGCCTCATGAAACCTATTTACATTTTTCCATTAGGGCACCACAGTTGGCCCAGCTTAACGCGAAAACCGCGCTTTAGTCACAGCAACCGTGAAATCCCAGCCATAAATCTGAAAGATACAAAACCCAATGTAGGAGCAGACTCACCGTGAGATCACGTCGCGCAATCCATGGCACGGGGACGTCTTTCCGGACACGGCTGATCCTAGAGTTCTTCGATGCGACTGCCGAGCTGGAACAAGGTGTGGCAGCACACAACGCAGCTGTGTATTAGAAAAGGCAAGTGCAGCTGCCTGTTTTCACAATTTTCAACCCTCAGACTGTTCCTTCGAAATAACGTGGTTGGAGACGGAATACAAAAACTGCAAGCTCACAGAAGGAAAGCGTTTGTCATTGGCCTCACAAGTATCCTTTGGTCGTTATCGGACTGCGTAGGTGGGCGTACCACTTTACTGGAGCCATGACTGAGATATGGTTGACCTCTGAAATTTGAGTAGGCGACATGCGCACATGTCAGTATACAAATCTAACAGATCAAAGATTTCAAACGTGAGGCATTCGCTCGTGCATCCTGTGATGTTTACATGTTTCCTGCGCGTCATCTGTGCGTGTGGTTTTTTTGGGCCGTGAGCAGTGCAGTGGCATATTCAGAATTTTTTTTAGAAGGCGGGGGAAAGCGGCATCTGGTGCACCCTTAATATATGTCCGTACGTGTGTTTATATGGCAGCGCGTACGTATAAGCGTGCAAAAACGCTAATGCGATAAGGGGAAAAGGGGAGGGGGCATTAACTCCCCAAGACGTTTCAGCTCCCGTCTTCATTTTATTTGGTTTTATCGTGGTCGGTGCCTAGTTTTAGTGGTATCATGTCTGTACCTGAACACAAAGGTTTTCCGTCCAACTCCCTACTTCATTCTCAGCACCTTCCCAACAGCAAGGCGGGTGCCTTTCGGTAGGTTGTTATTACTGTGTGCGGTGCATACTGGCAGGCTGCTACGCTGACTATACTGTATTCAAGCAGCGCGCTCTAGCGACATGAAGCATGAGTACGGATTCAGGACAACCTCTGATGGACGTCCACCTTCGCTTTTCATTCGGATAATACGGCAGATTTAGCGAAGATATCATTTCCCTTTCGCCACCTTTAGTGACCCTGCCCGTCTCAGTTTGCACGTGTATATATCTACGATTTTTTCATTTATCTACCTACTATACGTGAACAGAAATTTCGTATACTGCAGATGGAGGCGCACAGCGCCAGCTGTATATCTTGAGATTCAGGAAACTTGCTGCTGATAAGTTTCCTTCATGCTCCTGGAATGCGAGATTCATGCTATATATTACCATTCATCGTCCTCGCCTCATTTTGGCCCAGCCAGCCTGATGTCGAAGTAGTGACGTAGCTAGCCAACTACGAAAACACAATCGCAGATGCAGGAGGTCCCCTGGCATATTGTGCGTTCGTTCTGTCAGTTCATCAGATGTTCTGCAGATATTGGCTGATCTTCGGAAATGCTGCACATTGTTGCCTAGAATTGCGCAACTGGTTCTGGATTGGTATTGTCTATTAGTAAACAAGTAAACAAGGATCGCTATCGGCTATTCTGCTAGCGTGACTATACCTGGGTGGAAAAATGGCATCTGAAATAAGTCCTAGGCATTATATGACAGTACTACTTGAGAGGAAGCTTCTGCTGGAACGTTGATTATTACCTCGGCAAACACGCGTAGTCACACCTGGGACTGCGAGGGTTGGCCTCAAGGTGGCACACTTGAGCTCGGTCATCGGAAGGCTCATCTGTGATCATTGAAACTTTTTTTATGGGAAATACGGCGAACTCGGCAGTCATTTTTTCTGTGTGTGCCTTTTTTCATGATTTAAAGCTTTTTGAACTTCGTTCAACGTCAACCCAATTACATTTTAATTTCACAATTGATCGTACGTCTCACTGTTATCATTTACTTATGGAAGAGCCGAATGAATGAATGAATGAATGAATGAATGAATGGACTTTATTTAAAGTCCGGCAGTTTTACCGGGCGAGGTGGGGGAAGAGCAGATTAACCCCTGTTCCTTCCCACTCTCCATTGATTATGATGGCGGTGCCTCAGGTGACCGCTCGAAGTCCTTGCACCCGGCGGCATCTTCAGCTTGCCGGATGGCCCAAAGCTGGTCGGCCAGCTCGTCGCTTGTGAGTGCCGCCTCCCAGCGGCAGCGCAGCTGACGCCGCCGATCGGCAACAGTGACCGCAGCCGCGGCGGAGGCCGGCCCCTGCCCTCGCGTAGTGGTGGCAGCAAAATTTTATTTGCACATTTATTATTTGCTATGACCATTGCTTCTGGTGCCATGTAAATGTGCGTTTTTAGGGGTGAAGCTCCTTAAGACCTCCCGATGTCCGCCGTCTCCCGTCTGTCCGTAACTCGTTTGCAGACAGACACAAATATATATATATATATATATATATATATATTATATATATATATATATATATATATATATATATATATAATATATATATATATATATATATATATAACCACGTTCCATACCACACATTCTCTTGTCTCATATCGACGAAGACGAACGCAGGAAAGCGTGACGTGCTGAGTATCAGCGTCGCAGTTGACGGAAAGCTACCACGAAGACAGAAGAGAAGGCAGCGGATGCAAAGCAGCGATGGTGACAACAAAGTTCTACACCACAAACTAGGGCTAAGGAAGCAAAAGCTAAGCGGGAAAAACGCCAAGCTGACGCGCAGCAGACACAACTTGGAGCGGATGCAAGGCGGCAATACCGACAAGAAAATTCTACACCAGAGACGATAACGAATGAAAATGTGATTATGAAGTCAAAACGTAACCCGGAGCTCGGAACCTCATATCAGCTATAAAGAAGAATCACCGCTATATCACAATCGGTCTCAGCACTATCTCTTTGAACAAAAAATATATGAGTATCACAACCACAATCAATCTCAGTACTACTCCAGTGTCTAAGGTACTCGGCTGCTGACCCGCAGGTCGCGGGTTCAAATCGCGACTGCGGCGGCTGCATTTCCGATGGAGGCGGAAATGTTGTAGGCCCGTGTGCTCAGATTTGGGTGCACGTTAAAGAACCCCAGGTGGTCAAAATTTCCGGTTTTCCATTGTAAAGGTACGTTTTTTTATTGACATGTCTAGAGAAGCACTCTAGCTCTCATCTTATTGCGTTTTACGATTGTTTTTGTTGCCAGAAACAACTAAATAGGGACATTGACGTTTTGATACATCCGTACATCAGGAACACCCATGTTTGTCTATTTCGGATACTGATTAGGAACTTTTCTATTTACGAAAACAAATTGAGGGGTGGTGAACAGCTGTCGCACCAAAAACTATACACACATGTTTTGTGAGCCCGTCATGCAGATACACTTACGTTACAAGTGTAATCGCCAGCTAGACTCACTTCGTTTCTCATTTGCATCTATTATCGAGCGTAGTTATTGGCATGCGTGCATCTTTCGAGCGCTTGCGCACTCGTTATCTTACGCAAATACTAGACGCTACTACGTCACATGCTCAGCACTCGCGCAAAACTGACAAAAAAAGAGAGATATGTTTACATACCACTGTTTAAGCATATAAAACGAGCCGTAAAAATTGGACGAGCTTTATTTTGCGCCACTGGTAATTCTTCCTTGGTTTCCTCCAAAAAGTATACTTCAAGGGCCCCCTGGTGATTAAAGCAGTATCTTGTAATCATTTCTTACCTGGCTTACGAATGCCTTACGTTAACGTATCGCTCAGGCGTAAAGCTAGCAGGCTTGTTCAGCGTATGTATACTATGGTGAGCAATACGAGCTCGAACACGCGAGCGCGAGTCACGCTGACTATAGTGCATTCAAGCAGCGCACTCTAGCGCCATACAGCATGAGTGCGGATTCAGGCCAATCTCTGATGGACGTCTACCCTCCAAGCCTACACCGGCATCGCTGCTGCAAAGTAGGGTATTGCCAGTGGCCGCAAGCAGCGATATGAATTTGCTTCAATGCACCCAGCCAGACACAGTGACCCATCAGGCTATGCAGCAGCCAAAATATCGCCGGTGACGTAGCCGGCCGTCATGCACAGGTCATGTTTGGCGCTTGCCGATGATTCTGATACGGCTTCTTTATTTTGTTTTTGTGAATTTTTTTTGCACTATCATTGCTCGCGGCCGTTGAAACACAATCAGCAGCAGCTTTGCAGTATTGCTAGCACAGCGGCATTGCCATCCGTAAGCAGAAGACCATCCTATTTTCTCCTTTCGTTTCGGCAGCGCCATACACGTACCATGCTATCTTGGTTGCGAGCCTATTTGCCGTGCGCTCGAACTCATATTGCTCACGATAGTACATAGACGAAAGGCGTGCTCCCTTCGCAAACAAATAGATGGTGCTCAGCCACACAAATGATAATTGCGAATTAATTTGAGTCGAATAGCTGATTTAATCACATTTCTTTATTTACTGTTGGGAGATTGTAACGTGATTGACCGGCTACAGGTAGCTTTTTAGACATGTGTGATGACATGCATCTTGTCAAACTGTGGCGCTAGACGAGTGACTTCGTAAAAAGCTTCAACAGGTGTCCTTGTCGTTAATCTGCGAAAAAGTCGGTGATCTGGAAGTGCAAGAAACTTGCTTGTCGTTACTGGCACACTTGACGGAATACGATTTTTGGTTGAGGTACTGGAACGTGACGTCATCTGAAATATAATCACACACGAGTGCAGTTGGACTTGAGAATCACTGGTCTTCTCACAGGGATACAAAGTCGCGATTCGTGTGGTTCGGTTAAAAGGAAGGTACTTTTCAGAATAGTGGATCGAGACCGAACTCTCCCAGGTTTCATTTTCAGGACGCAGGCGCAGACATTCGGCAGTTGATTGAGCGTTTTGTTGTTTCTTTCAAGACATTGCATTTTAGACAGTGCTGAAATGGCTAACTATTGGCGCTCTTTGCTCCACATTGTGGCAGTACACATTGGAATACTCTGACAATCGCGAATTTTTTATCGCTCCCTGTTAGGTTCAACTAGATCTTCGTGTACCCGTCTCAAGCTTTCACTTAGTTGTAATGACAACCCAGTCCCTTTTTTTCACTCGGGTGTCGGTGCGTGGGGACTATATGAATACGTTCGGTTGTGGCAAGCCACATCAAAATTCTGGCCTGTCGCCACATATCTGCCCTGTACCTTTCCTTTGGAAATGGGAAAATGAAATACTAGTCCTCTCCTGCGCACGCGTTAGGATCGTGTGAATCTGCGCGAATGCTCAATAGTTTCTGGGTGGCC